CCGTTCAAATTATTTTGGAATGAATTCGCTTCTCACAGATAAGTTACAGTCACACGTTTTGCCACTAGTTTCATTTCCAAGTGCCATCGCCCTTCAGACTGGATGGACAGAGAGGAACTTTTTGACATTCCTTTTTAGAAAATGGATCAAGTTTCATAACAAAGTAAAGAATATTCAAGATTGAGTAACTGCAGAAAAAAATTAGGACGAAAAAAAGTGTTAAAAATCCGTAGCCATGCAGCTTCGCAATTAAGAGAAGCATACTGTTCCAGAAAGTTACGCAAAAACGCCGCAACTTTACAGTTTTTTACTGGAAAATAGAAATGCTCACCGAAAGAGGCAAAAGCCAGTTGCTGCTAGGAATAAGTAGTAATTCACCGTTAATAACCATTCCCAAATGTGGTGTCGCATCACCATATTTGCATTTCACAATCGTTTCGCCTTTTTTTGCATGCAGATTGATCATTACTTTTCGGTATATCTTCTCCGGAAGAATTAGATGTTTTCTTGCCGGCGTCACCACTGCCGTGTATGGCCCTCCTGTGATGTCACCTTTTGGAGTGACCACTGTTAGGCTGAAAAAATGAATAAGCTTACTTGTCAGACAGCCGACACCCATGTATTTTTTTGCAAATTACAAAAAAAAAAACACCACGTGAAGTGCATGACACCTATGCTGCTGTTGTGGTCCCGAGAGTGTTAGCTGCTCATTCACATGCAGTTCAAGCTTTGCTGTAGTATGATGAAAGCTTTTCAGTATAGAGTAGTACGCGCAGTACACAAGCAGGCCAAAAAATGAGACATATATTCTAGAACTGAATTACTGTATACGATAGGGACTCAGCAAACGAAAACTCCCTACTGCCGCGGGAGCAAGATCGAGTGGTGTCGCGAGAGCGATCGAATGCGGAAGAACAGTGGCTGCAGTCCTGTCATTATTTTGATCAATGATTGTATTGTTATTATTAGCCGCCCAATTAGTTGTGAGCGAGACTGTATTTGAAGTTAGGTTAGGAGAGGCTCCAGGCGGCCACATAATGCAGCATCATCCTAGCGATGCCAGTTCCCCCGCATGCGAGAAAAGGCCAAAACACAGCCAGTGTGAGCCCTAGTGTTAAACTACAGTGCAGGAACCATTCTTGTTGTTAACGATATGCAAACTTAGTGCAAAAACGCATAATCGCATCGACAAAATTGGTGCGTTGCAGTCTGGGTTCAGTTTATTTTCGAGCTTCTGAAAAATTCAAAACAGACTTGTCAACGGTGAAAAGCCATCTCGCGCTGGAAGTTGCATTGGTGGTGAGCGTCTTGTTGCCGCACAAATAGAAATCGTCATTGCCAAGAAGCATTGCCCCTCCAAAGACACTCGCATCCACATTGTTCGGACTACAAACTCCAACAGTTTAGAATGGGCCTCAACCTCAAACTGCTTGCAGTATGTTTACATAAACACTGCACGAATAAGAGCCATCCAGCCTTGACAGTGGGTGCCTGGAGTGATACGTTTTCGGCAGCAATAAATAATGATCTGTAACGCGCATCAAGCAGTTCCGTGCGATCATGCATTTTTGTAGTATTTAGTGCTTTAGCAAGATCGCTTGGAATCTCAATGGCTAGAAGTTGTGACATATTGGTTCTCAAAGTTCAGGAAGTTACTGTGCAACTAAATGGCATTCGGACAGGTAAAATTCTTTTGAAGTTTCAGCTTTCCCACTTTTCTGGTTTCCGGGTTAGCAATTTTCTCGCCAAAAACTTGCATGGGATCGTACGTGAGAACCACGTACACCCGGGAACTGAATTTGAAACCTTTAAGTTGTACATGTGCTGAGGGCGTTCCCATAAAATTTCAGCGCTCCAACTTCCCTGATTCCAAGTTAGCAATTTTCCCAACAAAAATTTGACATGCTCGTGTAAATTTGAATTATATTCCCATTTCTTTTGTAACTGTCATGTGATAATTATAGATATCTCGTAATTCCCCATCCTTCCCAAGGTTGGAAAATTCAAATTCTGAGGTCAAGGTATCGTAAAACTCTTCCCTTACCCTCCTCGTTTAACATCTGTGATT